GCTCAGGACTGAGTTGCAGTGCTGTCTCAGCCACTATTTCTGATCTATTTTGGGTTAGCAGTGGATGGTTACAATCCTGTAAGGGAAATTAGAGGGTTTTTTGCATGTTGGGTAACTTTCCCTGTGGGAAGTCTCTCTGGACTCACTGCTACAATTACAATATGCTGATACTCTGCTCATAATCCTGCAAGGCAGCCATGGACTGAGTAGGTACAAAGAAACTCAGGCATGTTTTCCCCCTATAAACACAGTTGTGCCACCTTGGCTCTGAAACTGCCCCTGCTGCATTGGTGTTGTATTTCACAAAGCAGCAACATCAGATGATCCACCTTCATTCATGTATCTCACTTACAGCATTATACCTGACAGCCATAGCTTTAACTTCTCACATATGTTCTCCATGTCACAGCCAAGAGGAACAAAACCCTTGAACTGAGAGACTGTCAAGATCCTTTCTCACCCCAGACTGCAAATGATGCAGTTTGTATGCTCAAGGGCTGAACCAAGCTAGACCCAAGCACGTATGCTGGGCCAGATTTCTTTTTGGCTCTGATAGGCTCAGACTTTGGCAGACGTGCATAAAGGTTTCCTGGACTCCAGACAATCCCAAGCTGCAGCAACAGACTAAGTGTGTGTGCATCTACATGGGTGTTGTGTGTATGTGCCTGTGTGGCAGGGATGACAGACAATAAACCCGGCTTCGTGTGCCAGGCTGCCTGTAAATAAGAAGCCAAAGGGTGATGGATGGGCTTGGGAAGGCCTGGAGCAGAATGGACAGGGTAGGCTCTATGGTAGCTGACATGCAGAGAGCTGGCTGGAGCCAGGAGGATGGCATTGTGCAGATAAATGAGATTTCACTTCCCTGCTGGGTCTCTTTCCATCTGTTTTTCTGTTTCTGGAGGCAAATGCTGGGAAGCTTCATAAACAATCTGCCAAGAGACCTTCCCATTTCTAAAGGCTCCCTCCCAGCTTTCTAGGGTCCCCCAAAGCAGGCAGGTAATCTTATATTCACCCTTCTCTTTTCCTCCCCAGGGCAAAAGTAGCAACACTTTTATTCTCTCCCAACACTTCTTGCATACTCAATTTATAGAGATTTTTATTTTTCCCTGCTGGTACAGACATCCTTGGGATGTCAGAACAGCAGAATTCCCTGCTCACAGATCTCCAGTCCTTTTGGGTTCCTCTTCAGAGCTGCCCTCCTTTCTTAGGTTTCCTGTATCTATTGTCACCTTTCCTCCTCACTTTGCCTTTCATATTTACCTGACTCCGCAGTTTCTTTGTCCCTCATGACTGTGGTGTGAGAGATTTCCCCTCTGCTGATATTTAGGTTACTTGAATCCTGTCCCCACCCTTTGAAACATCTGCTTTCCTTCGCCTGTGCTGTTTTCCCTCCTTGCCTGCCATCCCCAAACAGCACTCCATTGTAGAAAGGAGCCAATTCACTAACACACTACTGGCACAAGAGACAGAACAGAGAGATTCAGGCTTGCAGGGGGTTGAGGAGTAGCTGTAGGTGCCTTGTGCCTTCACAAAGCATCCCCCTGGGGCCATTTGTAACCACTGACCGCTTGAAATGTGATTCACTCAACATTAGTTGAAGGGCTGGAGCTGGGACTCCCCTCACTGGTCAGCTCTGGCTCTCTGCCCTCCTAATCAGGACAGAAGTGACTTGTTCCCACAGCACGGCCCAGGGAACTCCCTCTCCTGCAGCCCAGGCTTGTGAGCTGGTCACTAAGTCACGGCTGAGCTCCAGCACCCCGGCTCTGATGGACACTGGACACCTTCAGATGCCTCTCACCTTCAGCCACAGCCGTGCCACCCCTTCTCCTGAGCCTCTTCCCGACCTGCCCCGGGAGCTCCCAGTACAACATCCTCCAGGGACTGAGCAGCCCAGCAAGCCCCTGCACTGAGGGGGAAGAGGGGCACACGAATGAATATGCAGTACCCTCTGCTCTGCTTCCTCTGGGATTCCACGGAGTGGCTGACACAGCCATCACAGGCGACCTGCTATCAAACAGAGTCTACTCTACCCAATAATGAGATTAAAATAGCAATGAGCCCGAGATTAGCATCCAAGATATAGTCGCTGGCTGTCAGCACGGCAGAGAAGACTCTCCAGTTTCATGCACAATGCCTGGTGACAAATGGGACACAATCAATAGCAAAGGTCATTGCTCACCCGGCCGGAAAGCCCCTGACAGGGAAGAATGGGGGCAGATTTGCCCTGATCTTCTCTGGGGGGAGACGTGGATGTGTCCCGACTGGCAGAACAGTTGGGCTGCGCTTTCAACATTTTTCCTTGCATGACATTCTCACTTTGAACCAAACGTGTAGAATTAATGCCTCCTTCTGCAAGGGAGAGGAGATGGGAATACAAAACCACTTCCATTAAACCCTCCAGTTGACGGAAGACTTCAGGTGTGAATTGGATAAGTGTCACTTAAATCCTACGTGATGAATTACCAGCTGTAATAAGCCATTAACTGGTGCCAAATTGATTTAATTCAGAAATGAGATTTCACTTTTATCAACAGAGGAAGAGCAGAGAGCAACCCGCGGGTGCCCAGGGGCTCGGTGCCTGGCAGCGCACGGCTCTTCAAGTACAATGACTCGGTGGGAAAAGCTTCCTTCGCCCCCCGGCAGCTCCGGCCGGAGCCGGGACATGCCCGTGGCGTGTGCGAGGGGCTCAGCCCCTGCGAGAGGGACGGTGCCTCTGTCCGAGGCGACTTCGCTCCCAGGGAAGGGCAGAGCCATCTCGGGAGGGGACTTGCAGGACTCCCCGAAGTAGGGGGATCTGGGAGGCAGCGGGAGAGCCCGGAGCCCGCTCCCGGCACGGTGACAATGGGGCTGTCCGGAGGCACCGCGCCCCGGCACCGGCGCTGTCCGGGCTCGGTGCTCGCTCGCACCGGCGGGCGATGCCGCCCCTGCCCGGGCACCGCGCGCGTCCCGGCCACGGCAGCACCGGCGGTCCCCGAAAACCCCGCTCTTTGTCTCCTCCGGGGCGCACGGAAAGTGGGAAAGTGCCCCCCGCACTGCTCCGCAGTCCCTGCGAAGCCAGAGGGGAATGGGCTCGGCGGAGCATCCCCCGCCGGCCCCGGGGCTCGGGGAGCGCGGCGCGGGCAGCGCTGCCTTACCTGTCCGCAGGTCCGGGGCTGGCGGAGCCCGGCAGGCAGGGCAGGGCTGTGCGAGCGGCGGAGGGGAGGCAGGTCTGCCGGGGGCAGCGGGTGTTCAAACCCGAGAGCAGGAGGAGCAGGAGGAGGAGACAGGGGGAAGGCAGTGGGGGAATGTGGAGAGGAACCGGGGACGCCGGGAATCCCGGGGGACTGGGGTGCATGGTGCGGGAGGAGGTGGGGCTGGGAGGGGCTCCGGGCGTACGGGGGGCTGCGGGAGGGTGCGGGGGGGAGCTCTGGGAGGGTGCAAGGGGGTCTGCAGGGCGGTGCAGGAGCATGCGAGGGGCGCATGGCTCGGGGGTGCCCAGCGAGGAGGAGGAGGAGGTGCGGGAGCGCAGGGTGCTGGTGACAGCAGCGGCAGCCTGCCTGGGGCACGGACGGGGCAAACAAAGGACGGAGACAAAGGCGGGGCAGCCCCGGGGCGGGCCCCGCTCACCTGCGCGGCGGGGCGGGCTCCGCGCCCCCGCTCCCCGCAGCAGGTGCTCCCCGGCGTTCCGGCCGCGGAGCGGGTTAGCTACCCCAGCGAGGGGCGCAGCGTCTCCTGCTCCCCTGCCCCGGGCCCCGCTGTCCGGGGAGCCGCCGGGGCGGGCAGGCGGGGGCACCGACCCTCGGGGCAGCGCTGGGATCCGCGCCCGCTCCTCCTGCCCGCTGGGGGCGCTCGGCACGCGCCGCGTGACGTCACCCGCGCGCGCCGCCACTGCCCGCCCTCTCCCCCTCCTCATCCAAGGGCTGGGCCAGGGAGAGAAACGTGGCGGAGGGGCTGGCACCGGACCGGGGGACCGGAGGACCGGGGGGGACAGGGAGGATCAGGGGGACAGGGAGGACCGGGGGACAGGAGGGATCGGGGGACAGGGAGGGACAGAGGGGACAGAGGGGACAGGAGGGACAGCGGGGATGGGGAGGGACAGAGGGACCGGGGGACAGGGAAGGATCGGTGGGACAGGAGGGACAGAGGGGACAGGGAGGGATCGGGGGACAGGGAGGATCGGGGGGGACAGGGAGGATCGGGGGACAGGGAGGGACAGAGGGGACAGGGAGGGATCGGGGGACAGGGAGGGATCGGGGGGACAGGAGGGACAGAGGGGACAGGAGGGATCTGGGGGGACAGGGAGGGATCGGGGGGACAGGGAGGGACAGAGGGGACAGCGGGGTTGTGGGGGGACAACTGCTCGGGGGGTGGGGGTCGTGCCGATGCGGGTGCCCCGCGGGTCCGGGAGTGCCGGGGAAAGGCGGTGCTGAGTGAGCTGGAGCGGGCCCGGGGGTGACGGGCACCCGAGCGGGCCGGGCAGCGGGGACGGTCCATCCTGCCCCGGGAGCCGGGCCGCGGGCAGGGCACGGCCGGGGAGCAGGGCCGGCTGTCCCGGGAGCACGGCCTGTGGGCACGGGGGGAGTTGCAGATGATGGATTAGTGTTATGTGATATCCCCCATCCCTCCCAGCGCCCTGCAGGGAAGGGTGGATGTCTCGGGATGCTCTTCCCCCACTGGGGCCTCTCTTTAAGGAGGGGTGATGTTTAGGTGAGGATGTGAACCTAAACCTCTGAAAACACAGATCGTTTATGCTGCTCACACTTTTGTACAAGTGTGAGAGTCACTGTGGCTGGAGGGCTAGAGAGATGCTTAGGTATCTTAATTTTATTTAGTGTAGCAGATCATGGATATTCCAGGAAGTCTTTGTATACAGTGGTGTATATATATATATACATTCCTGATTTTAAGAAAAGGGAAATGAGCTCCCTGTTTTGTGAAGGTTAAACTAATTCTTTGTAAGTCTGAAAAATGTGGTTTGTTGCAGCTGAAACAGCTTTGAAAATCGGTGTCTAAAGAGCTGATTGGAATCGTTTGTGGGTTCAGCAGAGGTCTCTGTAGGACACTGGTGGAGCCAGGGTGCTCCAGAGGCATTTAAAGACATACACAGCTCATCAGGAGTGGTGCTGGTATTGGTGGTCAGTTTTCATGAATGTGATGAATGAGTGTGGATAAAATAGTGAAACAAACTAAAATTTCTCGTAGGTAATTATGTACACTGTGGCTTAAATTGTGTAAGGCACAGACTCCACCCTGTAGGGAAAGCTGTTGGAAAGCTGAACCCCAGTGTGTGCTGTTTGTTGGCAGTGATACTCAATTTGGCACAATAATGTGCTGCCCTTTGTAAGTGTCACAAATTTCAGGCTCTCCAGGGAAGTGGTCATGGCACCAAGCCTGTCAGAGTTCAGGGAGCATCTGAATGATGCCCTGAGTCACATGGTTTAGTTTTAGGTAGCCCTGAGAGGAGCAGGGAGTTGAACTCCATGAGAGACAGACTCTGAAGCTGTTGCAGTGGCAGCAGATGAGAACCTGTGTGGTGATGTGTCAGTGGAAGATGCAGCTCCAAGCCTGGACAAGTGTTGGTTCATGGTGCTGTTGTGGGAATAAACCCATAAAACTGAGAATTTCTTGTGTTAGAGTAGGAAATGGGGGCTAGAAAAGGAAAGGAACATGAAGCTTTAAAAATACCAGTGTTTCTTGTGCTACTAATAAGTATTGGTGTGAACTTCCCCGTGTCCCAAAAAGAGAGAGAGAATGGAAAAAAAGCAGGAATGAAATGATGGGTGAGCTCTCAGTTGGAGGTGTGAGCCAGAACACTGTGGTTTGTGCACTGCTGGTGAGCCCTGAGGGCTGTGGTTGCACAGGGTGCTCACACCTCTGTCTGTGGGCCAGCAGAGGCATGGGAGAGGTGGATGGTTCCATGGGCTGTGTTCATAATGCAGCAGCCAGAGGATAAACGTTGCTTTTGTGGTTACTTCCAGGGCCTGGGGAAGATGACAACCCTCACACGGCAGGACCTCAACTTTGGGCAAGGTAATGTGTTGTGCTGAGCTGCAGCTGATGCCCCTGTGAGCCTTCTCCTTGGCACTGAGTCTTGGTGGAGGGTTGGTCTATCCCTAAACCTCCTGCAGCTAAGGGGATGCAGGTGAAATTTATGTACAGAAAAAAAAAACCAACCCTTTAAAAAAATTCCTCTGAGTCTGTGGTATTGCTCTGCTTCCCCACCCCACCCCACTCCAGCGTTCTTTACTTCTGTTTTTCAGTTGTTGCAGATGTTCTTTCAGAGTTCCTGGAAGTGGCTGTTCACCTCATCTTGTACGTCAGAGAAGTTTACCCCATCGGGATCTTTCAGAAGAGGAAAAAATACAACGTACCTGTGCAGGTAGGAGATTTTCCCAGAAGCTCTCAGCCACCTGGACAAGCAAAATAGCAAGGATTAGTCAACACTCACTAGTACCGAAAACTTGTTCTCTGGAAGTGATTGTTTTAATGTGCAAACTCATTTTTGAAGGGAAATTAGTTCCTGTCCTAAGGGAGAGCAGCCCTGTAGCTGAGGATACAGCAGTGCTCATGGAACAAGCAGGTCATGGACAGCAGTAGTAGAAGGCTTCCCCAGCTCTGTGCAGTGAGGTAACAGGAAAGCATGTTTCCTAGGAAGTAGGGATGGCTGGAATATGCTATTCCCAATATGCTGTTGTGGATATATTTTCCTGATAGACAACAACTGTGTGGGTGCAGTGATCTGCCTCAGCTGATTTAACCCTTCCCTGAAAGAATTGCCGGTTTGAATGGGCAACTCAGCATTTTTCACCAGTATTTGAAGCATGACTCGAGTGCCTTGTGCACACTGGTGCTTCTGTTTAAATCTCCCCTTTTAGCACTGTCCTGCTTCACATCAAACACAGCTCTGACTCCTCCCTGTGTTTGCTACAGATGTCCTGCCACCCGGAGCTGAACCAGTACATCCAGGACACGCTGCACTGTGTAAAGCCACTGCTGGAGAAGGTGAGAGCGAGTCAGGGACCAAAGTACTGCAAGTGGCTCTGATAGAAAGTAAGAGAGCATAAATACTCTCTTAATTGCAACCTTTATTTACTAATTTACCATATACACTATACTAGCCGATAAAGTTTGTAACAAAACTAAAACCAACACCCATAACCTTTTCTGGCAGTTAAGGCCTTGCTGCATCTTATACTTGCACCTGAGGACATATGTCTGTGTATTTCCAGTTACATCATCCTGCACTTTAACATTCTGCTTTTGAATCCATCCCAGTTTAAGCACCTGTTCCAGCAGAACAGTTTGAATGCTTTTGTAAGAGAGAGATGTGATCTGTGGAACATTCCAGGAGGCTGCTGGCAGGTTTTGTGTTCCTTGCTCTTTACAGACAATCTTAATGCATGTTTAGAAAACAGAATGAGGTCAGTTGTACACTGTGGTTGTACAAAGCTGCTCTGTTTGGCCAGTGGTCTGAGTGTTTCTTACCTCCCTCGGTGTCCATTCCTGAGTGATGCAGTGAGATGGCTGCATCTCCTCCTTTGTTCCTAAACAGGACCTAGAGAAACATACAATTTAGCGCACCCATCTCTCTCAGCCTTAGCCACAAGCTGTCAGTTTAAAATCCAGCAAGAAGTGGCTTTGCAAAAGCAATTTTTCTGATTGCTAAGAATAATCTGAGCTCAAGCTTTGGATAACTGCTTGTGCTGTGAGCCTCAACAAATACAGTGGGAGTGCACTCCCACTATATCAAAGCACGCTGGGGGCAGCACACAGCTTGTTTTAAGGAAGGGATTTTTCTAATCTTTGTTCTTGCAGAACGATGTGGAGAAAGTTGTGGTTGTAATCCTGGATAAAGAGCACCACCCGGTGGAGAGATTTGTCTTTGAGATCACCCAGCCGCCTCTGCTTTCCATTAGGTGAGGTTTCCACTCCTGCTTGCCCGTGGCATCCAACACCTGCCTCTGAGGGCTGTTCTGGGAGCAGCTCCAGGCCTTTGCTGCGTGCCAGTAACAACTGCTGTGCCCTCCACAGTTCTGAGTCCCTGCTGTCCCACGTGGAGCAGTTACTCCGTGCCTTCATCCTGAAAATCAGCGTGTGCGACGCTGTGCTGGACAACAACCCCCCAGGTAAACGCCACTGGGATCCAAACAGCCTGATGCCTGGCATTGCTTGGCTTGGCCCATCCCCTGGGAGCTGTCCCCAGAGCTGCAACCTGCCCTTTCTCTCTCAGGTTGCACCTTCACAGTTCTGGTTCACACACGGGAGGCTGCCACACGGAACATGGAAAAGATCCAGGTGATAAAGGTGAGTGGCACCTTTGGGCACCTGAGTGTCTGTGAGAAGCTGCAGAGCAAAGACTGGGCAGATCAGAGTTCTGGCCTCCCTGAGGTTGAGGCTGGCATGTTTTGAACATGTACTTAGTGTCACTTGATGCACTTCGCAGCTGTTCTTGATGTGGGTTGAAATGGTTTGTGCTGGTGAGGTGGGAGCATCCACCACACATAATCACAACTGCAGACAACAGCTGTTAGAGATTGTAACAACACTCACTGCCCAGTGCCTGCTCAGTCACTTAGAAGTGCTCAGACAGGTAGAACAGGTATTGAATTTTATCAATAAAAAGCAGCTCTCATCCCCCATCCACTGTGTGGATGGCTGATTCTGCAAAAGGAGCAAGGCAGGCTAAGATTCAGGTAACTATGGGGTTTGGGGGCATAAATAAATTTGAAAGTGTGTACAGATCACTTTCTGAAGCAAGAATTTTTAAGCATCCTTGCACAAATACAGGGAAACCTTTTTCCTGAGCCAAGTTATATTATGTGTCCTAAGGCACAATAAATAAAACTAGTGAAGTATAAAATTGTTTTAATGGCTCTGTACTGCTTAGCAGTGGAAACTGGGAGTGTAGTAGGCCAGGCTTTAAACTTCCAAGGCAGGATGGAAATCCATGCCCCAGGCATTCAGGAGCTGCAGTCAAATGCTGGTGTAAGGGACAGAAGAACATGGTAGCTCATGACAGCTGAGAGTGTATCTTTTAAAGAAGTGAGGTGTCCCTTTGCAGTAAGCAAAGAGGGCTGACATCACAGTTTGGTGCTGAGGACAGTTATGCTGAGTCTCAGGGCCAAGTGTGCAAGTGCTAAGTTTCACTGTTGTGGAAGGTCTGAGTTACCTGTTCCTTCCTCAGCCATTCACTCTCTCATTCACTCAACACTGAGGAGGAGCTCACCTTGCAGCACTGCCAGGCTCTGCCAGTAACACACCTTGTGTTCCTGCCCCCAGGACTTCCCGTGGATCCTCGCTGACGAGCAGGACGTGCACATGCACGACCCCCGGCTCATCCCCCTGAAAACCATGACATCTGACATCTTAAAGGTGAGCAGATCAGACCAAGAGGTGGCTGAACCTGCTGTAGTTCTGAGCTTTGCTCTCACACCAGCTCTGCACTTTGCTGTGGGGTGACAGCTTTAATGCTGCTGAGCAGTAGCTTAGCCTTGCAAGTGTCTGTGCCAGTAATCAAAGCAGGGCAAGACTCCTCATAATAAAATAACCCCCTGGTTATGGGGGAAGGTACAAACCCTTCCTATCCAACCTGTTGCAAGCATTTCCCCATCCACCTACCTGTACACCAAACAGGACTGATGCTGGTTTCTCCCCTCCAGATGCAGCTCTACGTAGAGGAGCGAGCCCACAAAGGCACCTGATTTCAACTCCCCCTTGCCTTCGAGCCTCACGTGATCTTCCAGCGGAGTAAGATCTGTCACAAACCATACCTTGAGAACCATCTCTTCAGCCAGCCTTCTGGTGAATGTAGAGCAGCTGCTGCCTCTTTATTTCAAGTGCTCTTACCACTGTATATAGAACTGACTTGGAATGTGGAGCCAGAGCCTGTTCCCCTGTTCCCACGTGTGCGAGTGAGTACAGGTGTTGTTATGGTGTGTCCCTGGGGAGTCAGTGCTTTGTACCAATCCAACTCTCACCTGGAGGGGCAGCTCCCTTGCACAGGGGCAGGGATGGACAGCAAGGAGCTGTTCCACGAGAGCAATGGACTCGTGCTAAGGGGGAGTGAGGCCTTATGTAGTGTCTGTCCACTGTGACTGTCCCAAGTAGTCTTCAATAAACATGAAGTTTTACCCCAGTTGAACTGGGCTGAGTCCTGTTCAAACCAGCCTCCCTTCTTAAGTGAAGTATTTTTTCTGTGGAGCTTTCACCACTTTCCTGGCACATATGTGGCCTACGAAAGGCTGTACAACCTTGGTCTCTCCCCTTTCCATGGGAGACCTCCCACCCACAGGTGGCATTAGCAAGGTGGAATTTGGTACAAGAGCCTGCCCAGCACCTCCTGCTTCCTCCAGGTAACAAGTGCAAGAACAATGTAGATCGAGGCTGGGCATTGCTTTAACATTTTATGTTGGGTTACACAGTTCAGTACAAACCAAGCTCTGCTGTGAGCAAGGAAAACAAGCTGCTTGTGTTTGCAGGACAAAGGAGACTCACCCAGAGAGTACAGACAAAAAGTGCACCTGAGGCCACCTGGTTACAGTCCTGAGGTAAAGCAAACCCTTTTATTGTGCCTTCACGAGAGCGTGTGGGGCCCAATGGTGATGCTGCTGTTTGTCACACGGACCCCATACCATCCTGCCCAGAACTGGGTGTCCTGCCCTCCGTGCTGAAAGAAGATGTGACGAACTCCTGCTGGGTAATTCCGGAATGTGTGGGAAATCTGGAGAGAAATAAGAGACTTCCTCTTAATTTGCCTAAATAGGCCAGCACTGACCTGAACCTGTCATGGGTTTGCCACTGACTTCGCCATCCTTGCACAGTAGTTTTAAAATGAGGGTTTTTGATCCAATAAAACAGCAGTCTGCTGTTGTGACTTAGTTATTTAGACAAAAACTTAGGTAAAACCCAGAAACAATTAAAAAGACTGAGCTATAAAGCAACACAGAAGCCCAGGGGATATTCTCTAGAAAATCCTGGGCACCTAAAAAGGAACTTGACTTGATCAGGGCACCACTGCTTTGGCATCATCAACAGTAAGGACTGACTCCTGTATAGAGGAGGACCTGTTGTATCGAGGAGGCTGAAGAGCAGAGGAAGGTCCACTGGGACTTCTGGCCAAGTAAGACTGTCAAGACTCAAATGCCACAAAACTGATGTAAACCTCCTGCCCCCCGGGGTTGCTGCTCACCTCTCTCCACTTGGCATCGCTCCACTGCTCGATGACCACGGGCTCGGGGTGGAACTCCTCCAGGACGATGTGATCGGCCGAGAGCAGCCGCACCGTGAGCTCGTACTGGCACCCGCAGTCGAACCTGGCGGCGTACCTGGGGAGGCAGAGGAACCAAGGAGCAGGGCTGTATGGACAGCCTTCCCTTCCCTGGGGGGTTCAGAAACAAGTCTCCAAGAAGATCCATGTCTGCACACGAGAAGGACTGTCATCCCCATAGCTATGGAGAAGTTCTACAACTTCCAGCTATCCCTTCCCGGGACTGCCACCTCCTTGCACCCCTTTAATAAGCTGAGATGTCGCTTATGCTTTACTCGAGAGCTACAACTCCCAAAGGATAAAGAACTGATTTTATAGCATGAAAAGCTCCACAGGCCTGGCTTAATTCTAGGCCCATGCCAGAAATTCTAGTTTTCAGTACATCCTCTTACCAGTCCTTGACTATGATTTCAGGCCGTATCTCATCCATCAGCTGATTTCCGTATCCTTCGTTCTTCAGAGTAATGAGCTGGGACTTGAGGCATAGCCTGAAACAGCCATAGAAATACTCTCAGTTCCTCAAAACACATCTCTTCCCTCTCACTGTCCATGTCCTTTCCCTGACAGATTTACTGCCTGCCCAGACCTGGAAGGCCCACAAACCTGACCTGGCTAAGGCCTGTCTTTCCCATAGCCAGAAGTAGATAGGGAAATGAACTGAATTAGCTTCACCCCCAGATAAAAGGGATAGTTCCCTACAGGCTGGATTAAGAGAGGTCCTTGCACTTGTGTACTGGAACCACTGCCTGGTGCATGTAAAAGCAGCTACTCCTCCTCTGTTGACAGCTTTTATTACACTCTGTTTGCATGACACACCTACCACTCCTGGAGGTTCCAGAGCTGTGACTCTGTCAGGTAAGTGCAGCTGATTATGTTTCCCAGAGCCTTAACCTTTGCCCATCAACTTTGGGAGAGGAGAATTATTGTAACGATAAAATCCACGTGGATGATTTTAACTATAAATATTTGTATTATTTTAACTATAAAAATTACAGAAGGTTCCTGGTAGGGACAGAGAAATTTGGCATATACTGTGATCAATTCTCTCAGCAGTACCCTGTCTCTTCAGACTTAACTGGTATAAAGGCTTAATTAAGCTCCTTCCTTTTCCCACAGCTGGGCTAAGGTTCAGTGACCTGCCTGAAGCTTTCTAACTGTGCAGACACACAGGGGGAAAGAGGTTTCCAGCTCCAGATTACTGGAATCCAGTTCTTACCCAAACGAAGTGACAAAGTATTTGCGTACTGTGGGGTCTGGCATCAAAGTTCCATGAGCTCCAGGCAGATTCTCAATTTTCCATTCATCTCCGTCGTTGCGGTCAATTGTCCAGTGCTGGAATTTCTCTACAAACACAGGTGTCCAAGATGAGGGTTAGGACCTCACTTCAGCTACCAGCAGGAGCTCTGCTTTCATGAAAGAGTCAGCTACAGGAGAATTCTATTAAGCTACTTGGAGTTTTCAGATCCACTGTATTTTTCCTACAACTGGAAGTGGCTCCTGTCATTAGGTTGCTTTTCATGTGGCTGTCAGCAGCTGGCACAGTAGGTAGCAGCTTTCTGACCATATCAGAAACTCATCATCAGCAATAAAATAAAATTACTGTAATCCTATTAGTCAAGTCTTTGACAACACAAAGTTCTCCAGCTGCCCAAATGTTTAATGCCAATACCTGATGGTTTCGTTACCACCTTGTACTTGCTGTGCAAATTAATTGTCACCACCTACAGTGCTGAGGCCTTGTGACTCCAGATTTTTCTGGCTGCAACCATAAAGTACTGGTAAATACACACCCGTCTAGCTACTGAAGTTCTATTGCTGGTGTTGAGCTGGATGTGACCCAGCAGAGCTCCACCAGCAGTCCTGCAGCTCCAGCAGTTGAGTCATGCAGGATACACTGACTCACTGACTTCTCGGAAACTCTTAAGTGATAAAATAACGAAACCAACCTTCAGCGCAGGGGTTTTTGATTAAGTTTCTCTTCAAGTGGCAGAGCATGTAGAAGACCCTCCAGTCGGAGACGCTCCTGTCCAGGCTCTGCTGATAAAACCCGTCGCGCTGGCACTTTCTCTTCCAGAGGGTGTTGAGGTCCACCACGTAGCGCCACTGCGAGCACACCAGGCGGCAGCTGCGGAGCAGGTCCCGGGCGGGCAGCAGCGACAGCAGCTGCACCAGCACGTCCTCGGGGAGGTCTCCGATGGTTGTCATGGCTGAGGGCGGGGGGAAACCGCAGCCCCGGGGCAAACAAACACGGGCTCCGCCTAAGGCAGGGGCAGAGCCATGGGCAGCCCGGCGGGCCGAGCCCGAGCAGCTCCGGATCGGAGCCCCGGCCCCGCTCCGGTCCCGACCTGCGCCCTCCGGCCCCGGATGTGCGGGAGCGGCCCTTCCGCGGGGCGGGCGAGGGAGGAGCGCGGGCGGGGCCGCCGGGCTTTATCAGGGCAGCCCGGACCGCCCTCCCCGAACCCGCAGTCCTGTGTCGGGACAGCCCAGCCCGCCTGGCCCCGAAGCTTCCAGCCCAGGTAAGAGCGCTCGGTGTCCCCCCGAAGCCCCTGCGGGTGTCCTGGGCTGTCTCCGGGGACAGACGGGGACACGGCACGGGGTGGGCGATACCGGGATGCGGATCGGTCCCCGGGGAGATGCAGACCGGTCTCAGGGAGGATGCTGCGAACCGCGGTGGGAAAGGGAAGGTACCTCCTCCCCTCTCCCGAGCGGGGGATGCTCGCTAACGAGGAGAGCGGCGGTGCTCCATCAGCACGCCGGGCCTCTGGAATTCCTGTAAGAGATCAAACCGGCGAGACTCTTCATGTTTCTAGTTTTGGGCTTTTTTTGTGGGTTTTTTGTTTGTTGTTTTTGTTGTTTTGTTTTTTTTTTAATTACGTTTTAGCCTTCAGGACTGTGGTGGAGGGTTGGAAGTGGAGGGGGTGGGTGATGGGGAATCACTAATGCTATCCCCAGAAAAGCCAGGGAATTTTAAATGACAGTTTGTCCCTGCTGGCTGCAGTGCAGATAAAGGACATGCAGTGCTCTGCATCTGAACATCTAGATTTAGGATGCTGTTACAGCAGTGACTCCCTATTTCTTCACTCCCTTGCCCGGTTTGGCACTGCTGTATTCCTTCAAGTCACATGTCAGGATATTTCCCCTCTGTTCCTGCTGCTCTTCCAGGCTTAATGACTCGTTCCTGAGGAGTTTGGCTGCATCCATGCAGTTCACTGCAGTCTCAGCAGCTTCCCAGCCCCAGGACTCAGCTGACACAACAGCAGTGTCACAGTGCATCCCTCACTGGTGACAGGGTCTGAATCTGCACACTCATCCTTCCTTAGTCCTGCAGCACCTGGACCTCAGGGCAGCACAGAGCTGTCTGGAGTCCAGAATTAGCACATGAAGTTAGAGCACGCACTTCTGACTGGATGGCTCAGGTTATGAGGCCATAGAAAATGGAATATTAGAGAATAGCAACTGAGTTGTTTTCAGCTGTGCTCAGACCTGTACTTTATACAGACTAAGGGGATTAAGTGCCAGCCCCCTGAGGGAAAACCTATCAGATATAGAATGAACCACTGCAAGGGTGGATGGCAAGATGCTCACTGCTGATATCTGGGTACTGCTCTGCAGCATTTGTTATCAGGGACGTTCCTAAAGGCAGAGCAAACACCCCTGTGCCTGCCTCTGCAGAGGAAATAATTACTAAGAAGCTGATTTTTGCAGCAGCAGAGGTTCTGGAAGGACTGATGCCAATCTGGGAAACAAACAAGCTGCCCACAGTTGCAGATGTCAAGTACTTCCATTTTGTGGGGGGATTTAACTCAGGGCTTTCACTTAGGACATAAAATATTCATCTGCTTCAGCATATTAATGGGTGTCAGGAGGCCCTGAGGTCAGGAAGAAATCTATGGCCCCAAAATCAAGCCTTCAAATAACACACTTATTTTCCCTTTTTTCCTACTGCCTCAGTCAGTGCCTGACACTGCTGAGCCCGGGGATGGAGTCCCTCCCTGAAGCAGTCCTGCTCCGAATCCTGGCTGCCATACCTGCAGTGGAGCTGGTGCTGGTGTGTCGCCTGGTCTGCTGCCAGTGGAAGAACCTGGTGGATGGAGCTGCACTTTGGATCCTGAAGTGTCAGCAGGAAGGGCTCACTGGGGCAGAGGCAGAGGAGGATGCGGAGAACTGGCAAAACTTCTACTTCCTGAGTAAGAAAAAGAAGAACCTCATCAAGAACCCATGTGGTGAAGGTGAGAGACAAGCACAATGTGCCCCAAGATTTCAGAGAGACAACCAGTCACTGAGAATTGAGCATTTCCACTCTTTGAAAATAGATCTTGGCTGCTGTCAGGTTGCAGAATTTTCTCCTTGCCCAAGAGTCAAATCACTCATTGCACGCAGCCAAATCATTTAATGGGCACGAAGGCCTTTGATAATCAGCCTTTGCAAAGGGCTTTGATTCACATTAGGTTTATATAACCCCTGCAGGGATCCAAATCGTGTTCGAGAGACAAAAATGTCCTTTGCAGAACCCATCCAATGCCGTAATGGTCGTGGCATCTGTTTCTGTGTTGCCTCTTGCCAAACTGTGACAGGAGAGAGGAAGCCTTTCCCTGCTCAGGGGCCTGTCTGCCCTCAGCTCACCAGCCCTTCAGGCTTCTTTCCTTGGAGCAGCTCAGGCAAATCATGTTTTTCCCCTCCCCTCACAGCCCACATCAGAGCTGGGCACACACCCCACGTGCCATTATTCTGGATCCATGAACTTCACTTCCCAGAGCCACAGTAGCAGTGAGCAGCGGTAAACAAGCCTCACAACCCAAGCAGCAGCAATTTCACACATCATAGACCAAAGCAATATCAACACAGCTTCTCCATTTTGTTCACAGATGACTTTCTGCAAGCTTTTCCAACATCCAGGCTCCCTCTGGCTAAGACCAGAGAAGCCCTGTGTTTAAGGCCTTAGTGCTTCTGAAAATACCACTTAGCGATTTAGGAAACAGAAATAAAGCAATCAGCATCTCTCCCCAGGCTGCTTCTGTCTTGTGACCACTGGAAGTGCTGATACACTGCTCAGAATACCTAAAAATCCTTTCCCTGGAGTACTTCCTTAAACAAACCCACAAGCACACAGCCATTTTGCTGGGAAATGCTGAAGTTTGGTAATACTGAGCTCAGCCACACTAAAGGTTTTTGCCTGACCTCCACTTAACATATCCACAGTCCACCGTACCAAATTAATGCTGTGTCTAACACTGAACCTTCACAAGCCAAAAGAAAGTTCCAGTGGGAGATGATCAGGTTCCCCAGGCCCACAGAAACTAAGACTCATCCAAGTCTCTTTTCTGCCATTTGCAGAAGACTTGGAGCACTGGGGAGAGGTAGAGAATGGAGGTGATGGCTGGAAAATTGAAGAGCTCCCAGGGGACTTTGGAAAAGAATTCCCTAGTGAAGAAGTCCATAAATACTTTGTTACATCTTATGAGTAAGGCTGCTTTCTTCTCTTATTTAGGGAAGGGAACATTTTTGGTTCCCCCCAGTCCCAGGAGAGACTGTGATGCCAATAACATCTTGTCTTTCAGGTGGTGTCGAAAGGCTCAGGTCATTGACCTTCGGGCTGAGGGCTACTGGGAAGAGCTGATGGACACAACCCAGCCTAAAATTGTGGTAAGAGACTGGTAAGTAGCAAGGATGCCTCAGAAGGCTGGCAGAGAGCCAAGAAAGAAAAGGAAGGGCAGAGAGGGCACATACCTTGTATATACTGGGCCTTAAAACCTCAGCTGCCAGGATGCCCTGGAAGGGGGACAGGGCTCACAAGCTTCAAACTGTTGGGGCACCTGAACTCCAAAGCCCTGGGGAGGTGGTGGGCTGGGGAAAGAAGCATTTCCACCTCAAAGCAAGGCCCCAGTGAGCTGGTGGGAGTGGAGAGCCCGTGTTCTGGCTCTCAGCAGAGCTCCCAGGTGGTGCCAGCAGCGGGGTGTCCCTGCAGGTACGCGGCACGCCGCGACGCCGGCTGCCTCTACGAGCTCTGCGTGAAGCTGCTCTCGGAGAACGAGGATGTGCTGGCTGAGTACAAAAGTGAGACTGTTACCATCCCACAGGACAACGATGGCAGCTGGACTGAGGTGAGTTGCAGCCGTGGGCTCAGCAGGTGATGCCCAACCTGCATGAATCGGGAATATTTTGAAGCAGAGGGAAGCAGGAAAGTTCTTCTTCTGGAGGAGGAGAAGGCTCTGTCATGTATTCTCTGGAGCCATGACCCTTTGATTAAACAAAGGGATTATACTGGAAGGCTACCTTCCAGGAAACTTGGAAACCTGCTGAATCACCACTGCAGGTGTAAAGTGAAGGAGATGTCCAGCTGGGAGAGGTTCTGAAAAAAATAACGGGATCAAAGCTCCTTCCACAGTAAATGTCCCCGTTGTTACCCAGCCTGGCAGGCATGACTGGGGCTGGGGGGGCTGAAGGCTCTGTGCACTGTAGGTTCATGGTGGTTTGATGCTTACCAACAACAACCCATTTTGTCTCTTGTCCCAAAGATCTCCCACACCTTCTCCAAGTACGGGCCCGGGGTCCGCTTTGTCCGCTTCGAGCACGGCGGGCAGGACACGCTGTTCTGGAAGGGCTGGTACGGCGCCCGTGTCACCATGAGCAGCGTGACAGTGGAGCCGTAGCCACGCTCAGCTGGGGCCTGCATGCTGGAGCTGACTTCCCTCAGGGCATCCCACGGCCTCTGGATGGTCTCTGCATGGTGCTGCTTCTGGCTGTAGAGCACTGGGCCCTTCTGCGTAGGAACGCGCCTGCAACGCGCCAGGAGCCACCGCCCAGCCTTCCTCGAGGGGACTGTGCAAAGAGTGGGGATGGATCTGAGACTGAAACAAGGCTCAGCCTCACCTCTTGCACTGATGATCTCCCATTGGACGGGACATGACCTAAAAGTCCTGCAGACCTTCTCTCCTGAGCCATTAACCCCAAGCCAGACACCCCTCCTGCCTGCTCCCAGACTTGGGCACTCCTCAACTTAAAGGGGTACTTTAGGCTTATTTTCTGGAAGGTAAAGAGTGGAAGAAAGTAGGAAAGAAAAACATGAGACCTTGTGTCTGAGAATGTACCAGGGAAACCCAGAGCCCTGTCACAGCTTTATCACCAACTGCCCCTGTGGCTTGCACTGAGAACCTTGGCTTCTCCCATTTACAAACAACAGATGTCATTGCTTACCACAGAGGGGCTCTAGCTTGGCTGCCAAGTGCTATTAGTTTCATTTTTAGTGATAATGCAAAGCAAGAGGGATTGGATCCTCTTCCCTTAAACTGTTCCCAGCATCCATTTATCAAGGCAAGTGTTGGGAACAGAAACCTGTCTGGTGTCCAACCCTGGGGCTTCATTTGGCTCCCTCAGACAGATGACAACCGAGAGTAATCGCTGGGAGAGAGAGAGAGATGACAACAACTTAGGGAAATGGGTTAGAAAAAACTGGGGGTGGAGTCCAGGAATGAATGAAAACAAACTCATGTGCCCCTCCCTGCCATGCTTCGTGCAGCAAGTGTTTGGTCCCCCAGTCTGACTCTGCAGGGAGGAGATACCCTGCACACACAAAGCTGGTTTGCCTCACTCCATCTCTGCAAGAAGTACCAGTTTGCTCCTCCATGTGCTCACTGACAAGACAGCACTTCACTCTCCCACTTGTGCCTCTTGATATCACTCAGGGCTGTGAATCCCCATCCTGAACAGGCCCCCGAGCTCTCCTGAGCCAAGCCTGTCCCTGTAGTTATTCCCCTGACAAGAGCATCCCCTAACAGGGCTGGCTCTTGTATTTTTGTGTCTCTGTCCATCTTCCCTCCCTGGGCTGCCACTTTGCATCCAAGTGCCCCTTTACCCGAGCAGTGCCTGCTGCTGCCTGCAGCCAGAGGAGAGAGAGCTTCCCCTGGGCACTGTGCACGCTGCTTCCCTGGGCTCCTGCAGGGCTGCCCCTGGGCACACAGGGCTCCCAAACCGCAGCCACGCCGTGCCAGAGCCCACACACCTAATAAAGTGACACTGCTGTGTGTGGATCTTCCCTGGTGTGCTGGGTGTCTGTGTCTGTGCTCAAGCACTCTGTTCAGTTATGTGGAGCCACATCAGCCTGTCCTACCCAAAACCAGGAGTCCTTGTACCTTGTGTGGTACCAGGAGTGTCCCTAAGAGAGGAACGTGCTCTGATCCCCAACCCCACAGCCTGGACCCGTCAGAAACGCTCCACGTGCAGCAGGTCTGCAGTGCAACAGCGAGCAGAAGTGAACTGAAGGCACAGTGAGAATTCATGCAAGGCACAGAGGAGGCCCAGGAGGGCTCCTACAAAGCCCAGTCCTGCCAGACACCCTCCAGGTCAACTGTCACTGGCTCTGCTGTGGGCTCAGCCTTGGCTCTGACACAGGAGGCACCAGAACCAGTTCACAGTTTACCTCTTTCCCCTGCATTCCCCCTGCACACATGGTCACACACTCCTGCTTTATTCACCACAGCCTTTACTGCAGCTGACTAGTTAATCTTCAACTCTCTGCCCACTTTCTGCCCCACAGAAAGTCCATCTGTCCCTAAGGAATCAGTGCAGTGAGGGGATCAATATTCCACATCTTGATGCAACTGTTAAACTGAACCTTTCCTAATCCACCACCTCAGAGTCAGGATAAACCCCAGGATTAAGCCTTTGGATATTGTGGCCCTTGTACTTAAGAGGGTAGGGCCGTGGTCCCCACTATGGGCTTATCTAGGCTGAGCCACTAAACACACAAAGCCTCCCCAGCAGCTCTGTCACCATGAACAGCTGCCTGGGGGCTCTCCCCCTCCCCATGCTGTTTGTGTTGGCTGTCAGGGGCATCTTGAAAAGCTGTCCTGACCTTCCCACTCCTGCCAAGAGGTGCTTTCCAAGGCACTCAGTGCCTGCACCCCTCTCTGCTCCCCAGAGCTGCTCCCAAAAGTCACTGCTGACATCAAGGGAGTCACATGAGTCAGAGTCCCAAAGCAAGTGAGTGTCTGGGCACATGGGGAAAAAAATCCTGCTCACATTATAAATATTCTGTTCCAAATGCCTTTAGAATTTTGATCAAACACCAGAAGTGCGAACACACTGAGATCTGAACTGTACACATACATCCAATCCAACCTGTCCATTCACCTGTCAGAGATGGGTAATGGGCTCTCACATGTTCCAGACTTCATGGAAATGGAGATGATACAATTTCAGGGGATTACAGAGAGTCAGTGCAACTGTGACAGAAGGGTTTGGATGTATTAAATCTCCCAGCCACTGCAGGGCTCTGTTACAGCTTCGATGCCAGTTCTTTCTGCTTTCTGCTGTGCCAACACCAGCAGGCAGCTGTGTGACACTGCACAGCAGCTTTTGGGGACACTGATAACCAATGCAGACTTGTGCTCTATAGACAGGAAGATCTCTGACTACAAGTAATTTATAACAGATATTCTCAACTCTCAGAGTATTCAGAAATCTGAGCATTAAAACACAAAAACTGAGTGCTGCTGGAGCATTCATGTTGTAGAAAAAACCACCAAATAAACAACTAAACTGAAACCACACAAAAGGGTCCCCTCCCAGTCCCAGTTACAGCAACAAGAGCTGCAGAAAGGGCTCCTGTTCCCTTTGCACATCAAACCCACAGAGCACCCCAGCCCTGCTGAGCTACACCAAACACAGAATGGAAATGTGCTCCAAACACCCCACACTGGAATGGACCAGCTGGATGATGAGAACTGGAGAGTTTAAAACATGAACCCTTCACTCTTGGCCAAGACACCACATGAACACACCTCTTACCTTGGCTGCTTTAATACTCAGAGGCACCAGGAGAACCCCTAGAAGAGCACAACACACAGCCCTGTCCTGCTCTTACCAGTCCAAGGTACCACCTGCACCTTGGTGGCTGCAGCTGCATGAGATGACACTGTCATTTTTCTTTTCTACACAGCCCACCACAGCTGGTCCTGGCTATAAATGCCATTATAATATGGCCAGAAATACTGAAAAAGTGGTTGCTTTTGGTTTTTTTTTTTATTCTTAACAGCTTCTACAGCAAGTTTCTTGCAGAGGAACAGAACAGAGCAAGATGGGGCCCTGGCAAGGGAGTACTATCATATATCTCTTGTCAAGTCTAATTGAATTTTTCTATATGAAACATCTATTATTACCCACCTGGGGGGCTGTGGACAGATGGAGGAGTTTTCTCCCCCACCAGGCAATTCAAGACTGGGGATGGGAGAGATGGGGGAGAAAATAAAAATAATCTATCTGACAGTTCCCTGTTGCTTGAAGCCCAGCTGTTCTAGCCAGCTGTAAAAGGGAGGATGGTTTAGGAGCTTGATTCCCCCTAAATCAAGCAGCTTGTAGAGGCTGGGAATGGCACCTCCTGAAAGACAGCCTCACAGGAGCTGGGAAGCACAACGGCATCCTGCGAGCCAAGCAAAGGGTCACAGCCACGCAGAGCACACACGGTGCAGGTGGGGAGGGGTGTGAGCGGCAGAGATGCCCCAGCAGCAGCAGCAGAGCCGGGCACGGCCAGGCGGGCACAGCAGCAGCGCGGGGGACAGCAGAGGGCACTCGGGCTGCAGGCAGGAGCCCGCGGGGCTCGCTCCGTGCCGACAGAGACGCACACGAGCTGTCGAGGTACCGCCCTGGATGCTGCGTTTGCGGGTCCGTTCCTGAGCTCTGCCCCGTCTTTCTCCGGGCTGCAGCTCCTGAACGAGGGAGCGTTTTCTCCTCGTCCTGTTGCTGGGTTGGCAGAGCAGCCTTTGCTGTGCAGACCCTAACGTCTTATCCCTGCCATCCTCCCCACATTTTGGAAGTACGGCTGCCCCTTGGGCAGCAGACACACCACTCCTCTCTTGGATGCTGGCAGCGTTTTCAGCTGTAACGACCGATCAGAGCAGTGAAAGCTGCCTGAATGCAGATGAAGGCCTTTCAAATTCGACTGGAAGCAGCACAAACTTGCTCAACACTATCCTGAAGCATTGATTTATTAAGAGTATCACTCAAATCAGTAACTTGCCTTTCCTTGCGGAGTTATCTTCTAACTTTAATCCAGCCACCAGACTCAGAAGAGCCACCCAGGGCTGGCTGTTGTCCCCACGAGCATCATGCCCAGGCACACACAGCCCCTGTCACCTCCCCTGCACACAGAGCTCTGCAGCCCTTCCCAGGGAGTCAGGAGTCCCAGGGACATCCCACATGCCCTTGGCTGACCTCCCTTGCAGGCACTCAGAGCAGCTCATCTGCAGCTGGTGTCTGTGCAGACCCATTAACCACAGTGCAATCAGTGCTCCCAGAGCGGCAGAGAGGCTGCAATAAAGTCATGGGAGAGCTCATTGGACTGATGGATGGTGGGGAAACATCTCCCTGCAGCAGGAACAGGGGCACTAACAGGGATCAGAGCAGCTTTGGCAGCGAGGAGCCTCCCACTGAGCACCTTGCAGAGGTGGGTACCACGTCCAGAAGCACTGAAATGCATCAGGGTGTACAAACCCTGTTTTCCCTGAGCACAGAGCTCCTTCTCTGTAGAGGAAGGATGACATCAGAGCTCTGCCACTTGCAATCCCTGCAAAAGGTCCTGAAGTCAAGCAGTGCTGTTTCCACCTCACCACACACCGTGCAGCTCGCCCCGTATTGACACACAAAGCGTTGCAAAACGAAGCAGATAAAATCCTGATCCAGATATGAGTAATGACTTTGCATTTTTTTGTAAATTAAACCTAATCTTGTGTTGACTGTGCTATACAAGGAGAAATAATGAAACAGATTAAGATGAGATCTTGTTCACTCTTGCTGAACAAAAGCCAATTAATTGCCAGCAGGATTATCGTGAAGTCTTGCTCGTCTCAGACAAACAATCAGATGGAGTCTGGGTGCTGGGGCAGGAGCTCTGCTTATTGGAGCGATCACTCTGCCTGGACAGAGGGAAACACTGCAAACACTCAGCTAACCACATGGACACTCCTGCCTTGCTTTTTCTCCAGCCTCTGTTGCAGAGAGAGGGGCACCAACACGCACACCTCCAGCCACACTCCCCAGGCTTGTCTGCTCTAAGTCCCCATCTCCTGTTCAAGGCAGACCCCTCCCCACCCTCCCAGCACTCCTAACACAGGTTCACCCAGACTGTTCTCAAAGCTTTCTGGCTCTGAAGGCTTTACCCTCTGAAAATCCTTTCTACAGTCCTTGACCACGCTGAGATGTTTCCTCTCTGTTTTCCACACAAAATCCCTGCTCCAGTCTCTCTGCTATTTGCCTGGTTCCCTAGCAGAGCCACCTTCTACCCATCTGTCTGCCACGATGACGAGCAAAGAGATTGTTCCTGCCTCTTTTCATCTGTCCTTTTTCCAGTATAAAACAGAAATCTGGGAAAAAGCAAGGACTGTAGGAAAAGGATCCAAAAAATGAGGGAAGGCTGGGCACATGGACTGACTATGGGACCTGATGAAAGACTTCAGCACTGCAAGGCCTGGGGGGACACCAGTGCCCTGCTGGGCACAGTCACCACCGTGTGGGAGCCCTGAAGGGTGGTGGTACCTCACAGAAACAGTTGGCATGGAGCAGCAAATCCTAGTTCCAGCTGGGAGGCTCCAGGGTGGGAACAGAATCCACCCCCAGCATGTCTGGCAAAAGGAGAACAGCTGTGTTGAACTCACTGTCCCACTCCTGTGGCAGAGCGAAGCTGAAAGCCACCCTACCCTGCCAGCTCAGGGCAATCCCCACTTTTGTGATGGTACCAAGAGCTCCACACGTCCCACCAGGGGAGGACTCTGTAGCAGCCAGAAATAAAAGGCATCGAGTGAATCTGTGAACAATTTACTTGGAGAAAACACTTCTTACTTTCACACCAGGTTAAAAAAAAAAAAAAAAAAAAGAAGTAAAATTAAACCCTGTCAAAGCCTGCAGCACTGGCATTGACAGACAAAAATGACTTAACAGAAAAAAAAAATGGGCAGGGAAAGTGATTTTCTTTGCCTGCATTGCCAGGGGAATTAAATCTTGTTTTTTTCCCCGTCACCACCAAGTGGAATAATCC